AAGAAGAATATACATTTATTTTTTCTGTATTTTTTATTTTTTTCTAAAAGGGTTTTTTATATTTATATTTTAACATTGTACATAGTTTTAAGTATCTTACTATGGTTTCAAGAGTTTTTTATATAGATTTTTTTTATTTTATTTTGTATATAGTATGTATAACCAATATTTTTTTCTTTTCTTTTCTTTAATGACCTATCATTATTTTAATTTATTATGTTTGTTTTTATCTGGCCTGATGTAAAATTATAATTTCTGTTCTTTTTTGTTATTCTGAAGGGACCTCGTCCCAGAGTAAAATCATTTTTCTATTCTATTCTATTCTATTCTATAATTATTGAGCTACTTTTACAACAAATCTGTATTACTGAGAGGCAAGGCTTGGAGAAAATAAATAAATAGATACCTTCAGCCCATCTGCAATACAACACCATCCTCAGCTATGTTAAAATAAGCAGTACGGTTGCATTAGGTAATACTATTAAGCACTAGTAGAAGTAGACTAGGAATCAGACAAATTCCAAGTTGTTCTTAGAAGTAGGATAAGTGCACTGGCTACTTATAACCATGGAAAGTAGCAATTTAAGGTACACACCTGTACCTAGTACAATATAGTACTGTTTAAGAGTCACAGTCGACTTAATCTGCCTGTAATATGGAGTTAACATGTACAAAATAGAGTTTGAAATTACCTATCATGCAGTATGCAGATGTGGTGTTTAGCTGAGATGCGGTAATTAATTTGAATTTGTCAGTTAATTTACCTGTAATTTAATTTCTTTACTCATTTTATCTGAATCTTAGCAATATCCTCAATTTCCTTTTTATTCCTTCCAAGGACAAACATATCATATGAAAATCCAAGGCTTTCAGAATTGTTTAAAATTGCAATTGAAAGAGAAATTGATAATTCAAGAATTATATCAAACAAGAGTCAATAAAACGACCCAGTAAAATTTTTATAGTTTTATCAAATGAAAAACGATCCAATAAATATAAAAGTTCATTTTTTTTATTTATTTTTTTAGCAGCACTACACTACTCTATAAATTTTTTTCTATTATTCATCTAAATGATATATTTCAAAGAATATAATTCCAGGCACTCATTGCCATAATATATTCAATAAAATGAAATTATTCCCTCAGTAAACCATAAAATAACGGGCAAATCATAGCTTTTTTTATAGCCCATTGGAGGGGGGGGGGTTTCCGCAACGCTCTCTGATATCGATACTTTATTCGACTAGAAGTCAGTGCCCTACTTTTCCCCTATATGTATGGAATTATAAAATAATTTGAACTTTAGATTAAAAATTAAAAACGCTGCAAATTATTCCACTATAAATAAAAGGTGAAAAATAAATAAAAATAGGTGATTCCAATTATTGTAATAAACTATTTTTTTTAATCATTAGTAATATGCTAAAAAAAAATAGCATTACTTCAGTAACACATTCAAAATTTAAAATCCAAACAAAGGATATAACATTTGGAATAGAACATATAATAAAAAAACCGGAGACCATATCTTTGCTCCTGATTGCCCGATTTTATCGATTTTTTTTATTTTGGTTTTTAGGAAATTTCGAAAACATTTAAAAAACCATATACAACATCCCCAACAAAGTTTATACTTTTTGAGTTATTCGGAATTAAATTTTACCATCCCTCGTAACTTTTTTTCCAGCTTCTTTTCGTTGAAGAATGTTATATACATAAATTTAAAAGGCGTAGAGAGCTTAGCCGCTTTAGGCTATAGCAACGCAGGTTTTTATGACACCATTTTGAAAGTAAAAGGCGGATAATAAGGAGGATGAAGGAGGATCATCCTCGGGTGACCTCTGGTTTTATATAAAAATTTGAAAAAAAAAAAAACGGTCAGGTAGTTTCGGAGTAAATGCGCGGACGGCGGAAGGACAAAAAAAAAAAAATTCGTTTTTCGAATTCTACGCATCCTGAAACGTGAAACCTCAAATTTTGAGAGGGGGTTAAGCTTTTGAATTTTAGGGTCGATCACAATGGTCGATTATTGAAAATAATAAACCAATATAACAACTCTTTTGTTGTAAGTTTTAAGAAGTAAGAAGCGGAGGGAAGGGGGGGAGGAGAAGTTATTTTAGATGAAATTTCCAACAAAAAAAATCTTTTTGAACATAGGACGATTCCGAACAGAAAAGAATTTAAGATCATTTTGTGCTTCTTTTTTTAAAGATGGTCACGTTTTTTATTGAACAGGAAGAAATTGCTTAAAAACTGTTCGAGATAATTAAATACTAAGTAAACCACTGGAAAATAGACAAAATTTTCTTTCAGAAAACTGTGAATTAATCCATTAGGATTGATTATAACAGAGGATTTTTAATACGACAGTAACAGTACTATACCAGCGGCAGTAAAGCGATCGCATTAAACCTTCTCAAAGTTTCTTTTATCGCTCACCTCAGTAAATGTAAATGTTTTCTGGAAGAAAATTTTGTTTACTTTACGATATTGTAATTAGAATTTAATTATCTTAAACAGTTTTTGAGTCATTTTTTTCTTATTAACTAAAATTCTGACCATATGAAAAATATAAAATTGATCTTAACTCTTCTTCTTGAATCATCCCACAGAGTTTTACTTTTAAGAACTGAGATACCCTGATAGGTCAAAATACTGTTAGTACATTACACTGCGTATGAATCTGCTAAACTGTTAGTTATTAACTATTTTGAGAATAATCTTGTTGGTTTAGATAATTCTAACCTAAATCTCAAATATTTGTTTAAGTTTAGGTTGTTGTTGTTGTTGGTTTGGGCTATTAGATATAAAACTCTAGGATCATAAACGTCTGTAAGTCAGTTATTTTTGTTGTATGTTGAGTTCAGAAACTCCATACTAGAGAGAAAAAAAATCAATAATCAAAATCTAATAATAAATAAGTAGAATAATGTATGAAAGATATTTAAGAACATATGAAAAATGAAATAAATAAAAAATACATTAAACATAAAAATTATGTTTATTTCTATATGACCCACCTACAAAAACTTCAAAGCTTTCTATCAAAATTATAGCGAGTCACAAGAGCACCTTGGTACGTGACTAACAAAACTCTACATACTGACCTCCACCTTCCAATAGTTGACCGACATATAACGACACTTTATCAACGATTTTACACTAATTTAAACGGACATAATAACAGACTAATAAGAGACATACCCCACAACATGAGGAGGATATTAGAGGACAGACGATACAACAATTCTCACAAATCATCAAGATCCTACACTGGCCTCAGAAATTTTACAAAATCACTTACATTAACACCTACCCTCCAGTTTATATTGACAACAATCAAATTCCTCGAATGGACAGGGTAATTTACCTTCGACTTACCTTCGACAGAAGTATGACGTCGGGCCCCCATGTTAACATTTAACTGGATATAATAATAGACTAATAAGAGACATAGCCACAGCTCACATACCTCAGAACATGAGGAGGAGACTAAAATGGCGTTGGATGAGAGATCTCCTTCTTTAAGAAACCTAAGTAATTGGAACAAGTTAGGGATGAGGTACTGCTGAGTACTTTCCTTCCCCATGCCTGCTGTCATGTCATTATTTGCTGTTTCGCCATTACATATGCTGATTGTCAACAATAAGTTGACAGGCAAAAATTTTAATGTTTGGCTCCTCATTGTTTAATACTATTGGTATACTCGGTCAGAGGTCATGTGTTTAAGAGAAATATTAAGGGCTTTCATGAAAAATATGACTGACAGTTAGATGGCTATTGCAGTGTTCACATTTCGGTAGAGGCTCTTTAATAATGATATGTAAATGAGTTAGATTTGTGTGTCTATTGTTAATCTAGTTAAAGCTTATATCTCTCTGCCATTAGTACGGTTTGATGTGGCCCAAGGATTCACTGATTTTTTAACAAATTTCAACTTGATAGATGGGCTTTCGTTCAAGATAGATTGCCAACTGTCCTATATTTCTTTTTTGAGAGGATAACTCATTTCTGGAGGGTTCAGGATACTAGTACCTCGGTATGGTTTAGCCTTATTCTCAAGCTCGTTACCAACTATTTCCACGTGACTGGGAACCCACATAAAGCAAACAGACGTCCCCAAATTTTAAGAATATGAAGATATTTGTGTATTTTTAGGATAACTGGATGTTTCGAGTACATGTCCTTTAATCATTTAAATATTATTGTGTTTGAAGTTATTGACATAAAGAAAGATATATACAAAAGATTGTATGATTTCATACCAAATATAACACCTCTAACACTTCATAAGCTAAATTCGACAACCCTTCCAGACCGCAGTAAAGCTTTTTTGACCCCATCTGAACTTGAACATCTAAGAGGAAGCACATCCCACGAATGGTAAAGACGGTGGGACAACAGCGGACCTAGCAAATTGAAGACAATAAAGAAAGAGGTACAAACGTTGAGCACCTCCAAATGCGGCAGTTGTAGAGAAGAAGTCGTCCGCACGCGGCTGAGGATCGGACATAAGATCTTATCCCCAGATGTTTAAAGTCTGACCAGTCACTAACTATAAAACATCTTTTGGGAGAGTGCCATTTTTACACCGCAAGGTTAAAAGATCTCGGAATACCCCAGAATATATCAGCATCCCTGCGAAACCAAGAAGAAATCCTTACCAAAGTTAATTAGTTCTTAGACAATAAAAAAAATTGTTTATAACTAATGATCCTTTACAGATTTATTTACTTTTTTATTTTAAAAGTTCATTAATTTATTAATTTCAATTAATTTATTTTTGTTTTTGTTACAAACACCTGAAAAATATAAAAATAGTCTTATTTAGCTGATCGGGCGCTGATGACCTGGATATTTTACGCCTAGTCATCGAAGCAAAGAACAGACCAAATATGTTTTGTCAAATATAATGGAGATAGTACATAGATCAGGTTAATTTATGAACATTTCTTGGTCATGTTTATGATGAATGGATTTCCATTTATTCCAAAGATCTTACCTCTTGCAGTGCTTGTGCCACGGAGAGGGCTGCTCAAGAGTGGACACAATGGGAATCGGTAAGGCAGTGAGGAGTGCGACCAGCCATACGAAGAGCATGATGAACTTAGCGGCGCTCTTGGACATCCTGGGTTTGAGAGGCCAGAGGATATTCATGTAGCGGTCGACGCTGATGGCCACCAAGGTATATGCGGACACCTGGAGAATAAAAGGATAATTAATTATATATATATTATATATAGAATAAGGATAGTTAGTATGAAAATAGCCTCTGGTTTATTTATCAAATTACACCTTCCTACATACATTACAAATACACAACATTCCGTACTTCAACTATGTATCATCCAGATTCAGTTTCTTTCTCCCTGTTCCCTGGCGAGCCTCAAAGAAGGCTATATAAAAAAAACGCTGCAAATTATTTCACAATGGTTTATCATTTCCAAACAGTTATACATCTAAAGTAACATTACCTTCCTAGTGACAAAAAAAAAAAGAAATAAAATGTGATTCCAATTATAGGAATAAACCTTTTTTTTTTTTTAAAACATTAGTAATATGCTACAAAAATTAGTACTACTTTAGTAATACATTAAAAAAAAAACGAAATAAAGGATATGATATTTGCAGTATAACACATACAAAATAACTAGAGACCTTATCTTTGCTCCTCGTTGTCTGATTTTATTAGGTAATTCTGTAAACATTTAAATTACTATAACAATATCAAATAAAAAGCTTATACTTTTTGAGTTATTCAGAATCTAATTTTAACATCGCTCGTAACTTTTTTCCAGCTTCTTTTCGTTGAAGTATGTTATATGGATAAATTAAAACGGCACCGAGAAGAAGATTTTAGCGAAGTTTCATGGGAATCGGTACATTAGTTTAGGCGCTACAGTCTATAGCAACGCAGGTTTTTCGGTCGCCATCTTGAAAGGAAAAGGCGGACAGAAATGTCGATGAAGGAGGTTTATCCTAGAGTGACCTATAATTTTAAATATAAATCTGGAAAAAAAAATCGGTCCAGTTGTTTCGGAGAAAATGCGCAGACGGACAAACAATTTTTTATTCGTTTTTCCATTTCTACGTATATAGTTAATAATGTGATAAAAAGAGGTTTGTAGGGTTTTCTCTTATTAGAGGCACGGACTAATAAGCTATCATATTTCCTAATTAGTAAGGATAAACTTTTTGTTTTTTACAAATTCATCTATCATGTGTGTATATTAGTATTTATTTTGTTAGATTAGTTTATTTTTGTTTAGTTCAGGATCTTTTAGTTTATATACAATTTACTTTAGTATTATTATATTGCTGTTTATTTATTTTTATTTATTGTGTATAGTATGAATGAGCTACTCTTTATCACTATTACTATTGTACTTGAATGTGACAGATTGTAATATATGTTAATAAAGAAATTTCCTAAAAAAAAATCATATAAATTAAAATTTATCAGTAATCATATTATCTTACATCATGTTATTAAAATGTATTATTGTTATTTATTTTTACTTTTATTTAATGTTTTATTATCCGAAAATATTGTCTCTTTTATTGAAATCTTATTTACCATTCTAATCCTTTTGCGCAATTTCTATCTTGGTGAACTGGTCTCCAGAATTCTCCCAAGAGGATTTAACAGTAGCAAAGAACGTTTGTGAATGTGTATTCTAGAGTTCGGCCTGTGTCCAGTTTATCCAGTTAAGCCCTAAGCGTCTGAAGCTCTATAGCTCTCAAAGATACCCAACCGGGTTTAACGTTTTACTTTCATGGTCTTGGTTACATGTTGATTAAAAGCATACAATATTTAGTAAGACAATATACCTACTACTAAAAATAATATTATAATCTTCAGTTAATTTAATAATAATAAGTACTCAACCAAATTAACTATAGTAAGTCAGCCCAAATCATAGTTGAGCTACAAATAAACTAAAAATAACGACATATTATTTTACGATATTATTTACCATATTACGGTGAAGATGGAATGGTATTTAGTCTGTATTGATTGACCATGCTTATTTCGTAATTGTAAGGCACTATTTTAGATATGTGTTCACGGACAAAAAAGTAACAAAAAAGTTCATATAAACATATATCTCAAACTAATTTATCAAACAGATATCAAAGTTAAAAGATTTATTATTTATTTATTACATTAAGACTGACACTGATAATTGACATTAAGACTGACTGTACAAAGTTTAACGTGTTCTAATAGTGTCACTGATTATTTTAATGCAACATATGTATACCGATGGGTTGGTCGAAACGGACCTGTTAAATGGCCACCACGATCTCCGGATTTAACGCCATTAGATTATTTTGTGTGGGGCTGGATGAAGTCTATGGTTTATTCCTCGGCAATTGGCACGCAAGAAGAGCTAAGAAATCGAATCGTGGAAGCCGCAGTAACTATCAAGCACCATCCTGATCCTATACGAAGAGCCAGAGAAGCACGGGTGCGTCGTGTTGAACGTTGCATTCAACAAAACGGAGATCCCTTTGAACAGTTACTCTAGATTTTGTAATAATAACAAATAAATAATAAATCTTTAACCTGTTTAATAAATGAGTTTGAGATATATGTTATATTATATTTTTGTTCATTTGAGTTAGTGAGCACATACGTAAACTAGTGCCGTGAAATTACGAAACACCCTGTATATTGAGCTTTCCAATATTCAACACACAATTCCAACTTTTGCAGTCAGAAACGTGACATTCGTTTTAGGCCTCAAAAATCTAATATAGAATAAGTATCATTAACATTATCGCAACTTTTTAACAGCGACAAATGCAGACGGCACAGCAATTTTAGCAAGACACAAAAATCCAACATACGCCTCACAGACCCTACAACAGTATTTAACAATAGATCATGACTGGTTCAAAATTTGGAAAATCAAGACAAATCACAGCACATCACATTTACGCTTCGATATGTAACATGCCCTCCAGTTTTCCTTGACAATACACAGATTCCACAGACATACACCGTTCATTACCTTGGTCTGACATTTAACAGAAAAATTACGTGGGGCCCACATATAATCAAGAAACGAAAAACGCTAAATCACAGGTTAAGAATTCTGAATTCACTTCTTTCGAAAAATTCAAAACTAAAACTTAGACAGAAATTGAACACATACAATTACTTACTAAAACCTATTTGGACTTTCGCATCTCAGATATTTGGAACTGCTAAAAAGACTCACTGAAACAAACTTCAAACCTTTCAAGCAAAAACATTCAGGACAATCACAAAAGCACCTTGGTAAGTTAGCAACAGAACCTTACATCCTGACCTCCATATGCCGACTGTTAACGAACACATACGAACTCATTACAAACGATTCCATGACAACTTACAAGGACATGCTAATACACTTATAAATGACATGGCCACTACGAATATGCCAGGTAACGTCTGTAAAAAACTGAAGAGGAGCTGGATGAGGGACCTCCTCGCCTAATGTAGGGCACTGATCCTCGCAATGGCTTTCATGGCATTATTTTTTTTTTCCAATTAACCTGACATTCACTGGTTGTCATTACCATTATGACAGGTGTGAATAATAAAAAATAAACCAAAAAAATCTGTTTTCATTTTAAAATAAAATCAATTTTTAAAATCTTTACTGTTGTACTAGTTTGTTAATTTGTGAAACCCTTCAGTCTAGTGGAAGCAACTATTATCGACTAGATGTAGGAATGACGACTCTACGTGGATTTCTATGTCAACAGCCGACTTGTGGTCTGGTCTAATGGCCGTTTCGAAAAGAAATAAAGACTCCGTGTGGTTACTGACGCTGATAAGTAATAATCCATGGATCTGGACCGATGTGTCATTCTCTTTAAAACCAAGCTAGTCGTTGGGAAGAACAGTACCAGATTGGCTTCAAAGATAGCGCCTGCTGCTCTACCATGAAGAGTCCGTCGTAAAGTGAGGATGTGTCACTCCCTTCAAGATATCTTCTTGGATTTTTTTTTTTTTTTTTTTTTTGCTTTTGCTTGATATTGAGTAGTGTTGCCCAAATGCGAGACCGAGACGAGTCTTGGTCTTTCAAACTCAGTCTTGGTCATGGTCTTGGTCTTGGGTAAGAGTGTCGCAACAGTCTTGCAGTTACTTATTATATTATTACTATATAGATATTACTGTATTTTTTTAGATATGAGAAAGCTAACTAAGCCCGAATGAAAAATTAGAGAAGTTAAACGCAAAAGTATGTTGGTTATACCAATTATTAACATACTAAGATTGTCGAATATTAGTAACTATTTTGCCTTAATTTTTGTTTTAAAAAATCGATATTTTTTACCAGTCGTGGTCTTGGTCTTGTAACAGTTAGGCGGGATTGGTCTTTGTCTTGCAAAGTGCAAGACCAAGACATATTTTGGGCAACACTAATATTGAGGTGTTCATAGATGGTTAGAAGCTTCTTGATGGATTTTTTCCGAGTTACATGCGCCGTCCATCTTGACCTCTCAGCCTTCATATGATGCAATATTGATCTTCCAGTTCTTTATTGCTCTTTCTACTTTCTGAATTTATACTTTGTTCTGAGATAGCTCCATATTGCAATAGATGTTTCTCTGAAACTTTTTTTTTTATTTAATGAAATATACAACTGTATAAACAATACAACTAGTAAAACTGCACAAATTAGAAATAATGATATTAACAGATTTGAAGAGATACTGCCCAGTAGTAGCACTCCCTATTTAATTCTAGGTGAGAATATCACTAGGCTATCTTCTTTTCAGAGGCCTAGGAGGATTATCTGGAATCGAGGAAGAAGCAAGGCTGGAAACAAGTGGATTCCAATTGGACTGGAGTTTGTTATGGAAGGATAGGTATCTGGCTCGGGCTAAATCAGCGACATATGGAACATTAAGGTCTTTATGAATGGTTTTATTTGTGACAAAGTATGGGGCGTTAAGAATTTACGAAGGATTTTGGATTGTAAGGGTTGGATACGATAGGAATTCGATGGTTTAGTAGAACCCCAAAGCTCAACTCCGTATGTCCATATAGGTCTTATTGTGGTTAAGTAGATGAATATTTTGTAATTAATTGAAAGTTTAGAATTTTTTTCTAGTAAGTGTTGGAGCAGTCAGACTCTAATCTTTGAATACCTTATTCTAGAATGCTGATGTCATGACTGGTTTCATCATAGCAATATACAACTATATACTTATAGAAAATAGCTGCAATTGAGTTATTGCTTTTAGTGAGCATTTCTGGCTTTTATCTGGCTTTTAAGTGCATCTCTGGCTTTTATTTTCTCTCAAATAATATTTTTTTAGAGCACTATACACCCCAGATACTTGACCTAATATATATGCAATTTATTTATAAATCTCCATTTTATACCATTCTTTAACAGTTCTCAGGCGAGTCGTTATAGAAAATCAAGTACTTTTTTTATACCTCTTTGACGATTCAGGACCCTAATGGGACGTTATCCAATCGTTAAGATGTCTAGTGGTTTTGATGAAGATGCATTAAGAGCGTAGTAATCAAGAAAATATATGGTTAATTTTGCATGTTAAAAACTCTTCAGAAAATAAAATTATAAAAATAGGACAATTTATTCATTATATTTTAAAACTAATATATACGCTGTAATAAAATAAACCTCCCTCATCTTATGTTTACTGCCTACCATATTTTATAGCCGTAAATAATACATTAATTTTAAATTTTATTCTGATACAGTTCTAACTCTTGTATTATATAACTATCGTTAGAGAAAATGTCTTTTCAAATGCGAATCATAGAAATGATTCATTCAACAATTTTTTTAAAAACTTTTATTATGATATTTACAACTGTATTAGTATGAATAATCAAGTAAATTTGTACAGAGAAATATTATTACATGAAACACGCTTGTTGAGAAACTACCCACTGGTAGCACTCTACATTCAACAATTAAAATGACTTCAAAGAAGCGCGGTTTATTCGTGAACTCATGAAAACTTATTCGCTTCCTTCTTGAATCATAAAATAATTTGATCACCAAACCGAGAAAAAAAGATGTTCAATAAAACTATCGGACGTTTTGGCCTATACAACTTATTTTTACATGTTAGAGACGGAGGTAACGCCAAAAGTAACAATGTTTTTGTAGGCTACGTTTTTCTCGATTATATGATCAAATTACCTTACGATGAGTTATTAATATATCATTAAATAAACTCCGGATTTAAAACGCTCTATTTCAGAGAATTATCGTTGGTATAAATATTGTAGGATAAGATTATATGAAGCTATTCACGAAGTTATTATCACGGATGATAATAGTTTGATAAAAGGAGATTCGTAACACAGACTATATTCTGTGATACACAGATACACTATTTGAAACAGCAACAAAACACTACAAAAAAAAAGAACATATAGCTGTTTATTTGCTTACATTAAGAAAATTAAGTGACACAGATAAACGTGTCGCATTAGTGATAGCGATGGATAACTTTAAGTATTCGGGTGTGATAACTACAGGAAATAATGAAATGGGAGAGAACGTGAAACGAAGAGTTACTGCTCAAAATATATGCTGTTTTGCAATGTAGAAAGTACAGAATTATCGATTCTTCTTGTAGAACCAAGATAATGGGGGCGGGGTGGCCGAATAGGCTAAAGCGTGTGTAACAGCACCGCTAGTTGCCTGGCAACCGGATAACAGAGATTTGAGATGATATAAAAAGTACGAGTTCGCGTCCCGGTGCCGGAGGGGATTTTAAATTCCCGCCCTCACTCCCCGGCCCGGGAAAATCCCGTATAGCCTAAAAGGCGAGGTAGGGAAGAACAAAAAAAAAAAAAAAAAAAAAAAAGAACCAAGATAATGGTGTATGAGGAAGTCATAAGATCTACAGAAGTTCTAAATCTTTGTTGATATCTAAGGCCTGTTACCTGGAGGTACGAAACTCCAACGCCTATTCGAGTATCAACCTGATGGAATATGAGGCTGAGGTCTTCCTTACACGTCTGAAAAGACTGGACGAGATGAAGGACTTCCTAAAAAGTATCTTAATTTGAAGATGGAAAATAATCGCCTGCGATAGAAGAGAGCAGAGAAAAATAAAAGAGGGTCAGATTCATGGATGAACGCAACGATAATAAATAAATAATTTAAAAAAAATATAATTAAAAAATTATTGAAAGATTTAAGAAAAAAATCCTCCACATGATAACCAGAACTATCTAGAATCCAAACTTGGTGAAGAAAGACCAATAAAAAACTTCTTAACGAATCTGGTCAATTAATATCTTATGATATGAAGGAAAGGAGACTACGATGGGTGGGGCATTTAGCTTGGAGCAATCCATTTCAAAATCTCTGCACTACAATTAATACCTCGATACATAGCAAGATACTACGTGGAAGGCCATGAACCAGATGAAAAGATCAAATCAATAAAGATGTTATAGAGCAAATGCAGATAATTGGGAAAAAATAGTCCAAGATAAAAAAAAATATGGATTATTCATATTAAGAAAATGTCTACGAATTCTGTAATGCCAATAGAAAAAAAATAATAACATAACTTTCACTTACCACTCGAGAGCCGTTTTTGAAAAAAATAGTAAACATGTGTAAAATCGATGATGTACAGTGGCATTTTCGGTTCAACGATTTTAAAGAATATGTTGCTATAACGTAATAGACATATATCTACTTATATCTATTAGTTGAATAAAAGACCAAGTGGAAGGCCAAAACGCAGATGGATAGATAGAATCAACAAAGATACAATAGACCTAACTGGATAACTGGAAAGAAATAGCCCAAGATAGACAAAGATTGATCAGGCTTGTTAAGGTGGCAAAAGATGTAAAATGTTTGTAATGCCAAAAAAAAAAAAAAAAAAAAATTATTGATGTTTTAAAACTAAACTTCTTTGCGTGATTTCGGAATTTTCACGCTTCGGCAATTTTTCTATTAAAAATGTTGCTGTAAAAAGAAATATTACTCAAATCATTGAATTCCAATGACAATCTTAAGTTAAGTTAATAAGGAAAATACTTCTCAATCCCTTCTTCTGTAATATTTCCTCAAACAATAAGGAATGGAATAATTATTTACAGCTTATTCCTTTCCTTGCTTCCTTGAAGAATCCACTTCAGAGATTCCTTTGATATTGACAAGAGCCTATTACGCACCATATCTCCTCAAGATCCAGGTAGAAACCAATTACGCAATAAATAATCTCACAAGTTATAATTTATTTAACTTTGCTTTGGTGATACTTGTCTTGGTATTGCTACTTCCATTTTTTAGAAGTTAACTTATTTATTTATTTAAGAATTTTTTCATTCTTCAAAGTATAAATACTCTTTTAGATGGTATTATAGTAACTGGTTGAGGGTATTTCTATTAGTTCGGGGACATCACATACCTTGTAGATCTTTTGTGGTCTTAACAAACCTACTCCATACAATTATTATTACAGAAACAAGTTTCATTGTAATACAGCTAATCTTTGTTTTAAAGTATATGATAACTGGTTTTAAAAAATAAAGAATGATCTCTGTTTTTTTAAAAGCTTTTTACAAAGTCTTGTTATTTATAGGCTAACACAAAATAATAGCTAATCATCAGAACTACTTTTGTGAGCTGTAGTTTTATCGTTACCCTGAAGCAAGGAGACACACGTATTTGTATCTAAGAACTTTTGTCATTATTTGTTTGAAAGTTAAATAAGAAAACAAAACAGAACTTTAAACTTATCTTGTTTCCTTTTTTAGTTCATTTGATAATGAAGTTACTTTACTTGCAGAGATTCTTAAAAAAAAAAAAATGTTGCATGCTTTAATTATCAAAATATTACAAGAAATTTTATTACTGATGGAACAGATGAAAAGTCATAAAGAGAAATATGCAAAGTAAATAACAATTAATTTGAAAACCAATTATAATAATAACGTGGAACGTGGAACCCACATACTAGACTCAAAAGACAAGAACTCAACCGACGATACGGCCAGCTATACAGACTACTAAACAGAAAATCCAAACTTTCTATTGAAAACAAATTACTTATCTACAAGACAATACTGAAACCTATATGGACATACGGACTTGAACTGTGGGGGACAGCAAAAGCTTCTAACATCAAACGTATTCAATCCTTTCAATCTAAAGTCCTTCGAACAATAGTTGATGCTCCGTTCTATGTAAATAACAAAATCCTACACCATGACCTTAATATCCCATTTGTCCTAGACCTTATTCCAGAAAAATTCTCCAAATTTCACCAAAACCTTACCTATCATCCAAATCCCCTTGCACAATCTCTATCCAGCACCACCCATCCTTACAATCCTCCTCGAAGGTTGAGGCGGCAGTGGCCCAGAGACCTTTTGTAAATAAGCATCTATTGGAGTTTTGGTAATGGCCAGATCCTCCACTCAAGCCCGAGTGTGTATGATTAGGTTAGTTCTTTTGTTTATATACATTTATTTTATTTTATTGTATTTATTTTTATTTTATTTTATTGTATTTATTATTATTAAATTTCTGTATTATTATTTTTTTTTTATTGTAAATAGAGTGTGAGTGTGCTTTCTCTGAACACTATTATAAATGTCCTTGATGTGACAGAATGTAATATTTCTAAATAAACAAATATAAAAAAAAAATAATTGGCATCATAACTAAAACAAAAAAGTAGCTATATTTGTAATCGCTGTAGGTACTCATTAAAAAGATTACCTATTCATTTTCATAAATCATAAAAAAAAAATCTTTCATCGGTGTGGACATGGTGTGGTTATAAGTTATGAGTTAAAACTCACCGGTGTATACTGGGATGAACTGCATTGCATACTCTTCAAGTTTGCCCAATTTTGTTTTTAAAGACTTGAATTTAAATTCCAGTCATTTAGTCGACCCGATGCATACATTAAAATCAAAATAATAAAACATTAACTTTTATTTTGTCTGAAATTTAACTCTATGGGTAATTTGTTTTCTGTTTAAAAGTTATGTGAGTACATTTGAAATATTACATCCAAGATAGCATATTACAAACTGTCGTAACACTATTATATTCCAGTATAAAATAATTTATATACATGGAATTTCATAAAATTAATTTTCAATTCACTTTCAGAACGCAAACTTTTCGCTTCTTATGATATTGTACGTTTATTCTGTTCCAAAACTTGATATTATGAAATCAGAATAGATTAAAGAAATTTTAAATATGTCTCTGCTATTATCAATCATTGAATAGAAATGTCTATAGGAACTCTTGTAGAAGACTTGGCCCAAACTAGATATACCTTTTTTAATTCCAAACTCTTTGGTCGTCTCAATCCACCATCATCCAATACAATTCCTGACAACCCTCCGAAGCGGATGAGAATAAGATGGCCAAGGGTCCTCCTAAATTAATTTTTCTTTGAAGTGTTACGAATGGGTAGTTTCTTCACAAGTACCTACATTTTATATATTTCTATAGAGATTTACTAGTTATATATATGTTTAAAATTGTAAATTTCAATCAAATAATAAATATATATATATATTCTGTTTTACATTTTACTCTAAGATTCCCATTTTAATACTTATGTCACCTTTTTTGATTATGTTTACTTCATTATTCCACACTTTGTAATGGTTATTATTATTTATCTCTTAGTTCTTACTATTGTCATTATTCTACCAACTTCATTTTACTTTAATTTTTTTACCTGCACTACTTATGTTTCTCATGCCTTGTTATCTGGTTCTTTTTCTTTGCCCTGATGAAGGCCTGAACTTCAGGTCGAAACGTCGGCAAATTTCAAAATAAATATTATAATTTATTTTTGCCTTCTTATTTGACTGATCTCCCCAACTATTCTTCTCTTCATTATTCACGACAGTCAACTATTTTACCCACAATTTCAAATAAAAATAGTTTGATATACTTAAATCGATATTTAGACAAATTAAAAAAAATATTGAATTTTTAAAAAACATATATGTAATTAAATAAAAATATTAAGTTTGGAGGATGAACTTATATTTTAAAATAGTTTGTTATAATATACTTTAATTATAGATGTATTTGAAGATTAATGATACATTTATAGGTAAAACTTAACCTTATAACCTTTTTTTTAACGAATATTATGAGGTTTTAATACCTCAATAAATGTATTAATTTAATGAGAAAACGCCCTATTTCTGAGAATTTTTGCAGAAGAAAATTTTGTAGGTTACGATGAGATGAAGCCATTCACGAAGTTTTTGATGGATGTTAATAATTTTATAAAAAGAGGTCTGTACAGCGGTAAAATTTACAATTTTAAACATATATATGTTTAAAATTGTAAATTTCAATCAAATAATAAATATATATATATATATATATATATATATATATATATATATATATATATATATATCCAGTTGATGGATGGAATGCATTATCTCTAATGATTTTCCTTCATTTCGAAAGATCTTATAACTTCCAGAAAACAAGCAATATTCTGATGAAAATGCCATGTTTTTCATTTTATTTTTTAACATACCTTCCTTATCAAAACTTTTATTTCATTTTTTTTTTTAACTGAGTTGAAAGATAGTTCTTAACGATTCATTCGATACATGAGCGAATGTTAACTCACGAATCTCCATGAGCCGATTCGATGATCACCTAGCCTAATCGGATTAGCTTCGATGACTGGACGGTAGGATCCACAAATTGCTGCGAATTGGGATAACTCACTTAATTTTGTTGAGCAGATTAAAACCTGACACGTCTTACCGGCGAGCTTTAACGATCAATACTTCATATGCAGAGTTGCATAAACAAAATAAAATAATAAGTAGAAAATGGTAATGATTGTAAAATAATATTTATTTTAAATTAATACATTTTTTCTATAAAAACACAACTTTCTTTTTAACAATTAACAGATGAGATAGAAATATAATATATAAATAAAATATCAGGCATGGAGAAGGAAATTACTCAGCAGCAACTGTTTCTTGACTTGTTTCAACTACTTAGCTTGCTTAAGGAAGGAGATCTTTCATCGAACCTCTTTTCAGTCTCCTCCTCATGCTATGGGGTATGTCAGCTACATGTTAGTATATTTAGTAGTCTCTTATTAATGTTAGTATAAAATCTGCTATGTATTGAACATCAAATAATATTTTTAAATTATTATGAGGTGCCGAAAACTGAAGATGCAGCTTGGGAGACCGACCGGGGAGATAGACGTCCTGGCAGAGTTTGGACCTGGGCTTGACGAAAGCACTCTAGATAGATCCCGCTGGCTTTAGTACTAGTGAACGTAGCACAGGGATCTCCTGGAGTCCTGCTTCTCCTTCCAGAGTTGGAGGGACAAGCCTGCCTCGGAGTATATTATTTATTAAGTATATTACATGCAAACGTTATGTGGACCTAATTTTCTGATTTCTAATCAGAACATAGGTTTCTTCACTCACCTTTATAAGCAGTTCTGGTACATACTTACTTTCTTCAATATCATGTGCAATGAAATAAAGTTCTAACCTTTCAATAAAAGTGTTCCAGCCATCCTCATGTAAACGTAATTCAATTTTATAGGTCTCCATCCTCCTTAGGCTGCTCCTTTATTTTTTATTTTAACTTGGGTTACCTTTTTACTAATTTCCTTGCTTTCTTCTTTATTTTCACTTCTCAATTCCTGCACTAAAATTTGCCTTATCCAACACTGTCATCACCACCTATGCCGATGACACGTGTATCCTATCGGTTAATAACGATCCTTTAATTGCATCCCAAACTCTGCAATCACATATCACAAGCCTTGAAGAATGGTGTAAAAATTGGAGAATAAAAATAAATTCCAACAAATCACCTTTACCCTCCGTCGTAAACCTATGACCTCTTGTCCTACAGTACCCTTCAATAATACTCCACTTATTCCTGTTGATCAAATCCGCTACTTAGGACTCCACCTTGACAAACGACTCACTTGGAACAGCCATACCAGACCGAAACGACTAGAAACCGCTCGACGTTTTCGACTACTGCAGCACTTACTAGACAAACGATCTAAGCTTTCAATCAATTATAAACGACTCGTATATATGACAATAATAAGACCTATTTGGGCTTACGGAATTGAGCTTTGGGGCTCCACTAAACCATCGAATTCCTCTCGTATCCAATCCTTACAATCCAAAATCCTCCGTAAAATCCTCAACGCTCCTTACTTTGTCACAAATAAAATCATCCATAAAGACCTTAATGTTCCATATGTTTCCGATCTGGCCCAATCCAGATACCTTTCCTTCCATAACAAACTGCAGAACCATCCGAATCCTCTCGTTTCAAACCTTGCTTCCTCCTCGATCCCTGATAACCCTCCGAGGCGTCTGAAAAGAAGATGGCCTCGGGATCTTCTAATATAGAACTTTAATTTGAGTTCTACCAATGGATAGTTTCTCTTCATGTTATACATGCCATGTTACAAATTTCTCATTTACTTATTGTATTCTCTATGTAATACAGTTGTAAATTCCATTAAAATAATAAAAAAAAAATTGCCTTAACCCATCTACAGAATCAGCATAATCAAAAACCACACCTATTATTTTTAGTTTTAAAATCAAGTCTTGTTTCTTTAATCCATACCTCCACAAAGAATCTTTCTTCATTACTTTAATGAAGTTGTCGCCAAATGTTAGACATTTGAATATTAAAACACAAAACTACAATATTGGTAATCATAACTCTTTTATTCATCGTAAAATATAACACTGTGAGATTACTACAGCTAAACGTACTTAAATGTATTATCGAGATATCACAATTTGTATGTGATTTTTTATTTTAATTCCTTATTTTTAAGTTTTTAAAATTTTATTTATTGTATATATTTTTATTATTATTTATTTATTATTTTGCTGCTATTCATTTTATATTTTTTTGTACATATAGTGTCAATATTATTCTATCTAACAATAACTAATGTCCAAATTACGCAATGTTGTAATATTCAATAAATACAAAAAACAATTAACGCGGACACCATAACCGGATTCTGCGTTTTAAAGCGGTAAAATGTATGTTTTGAGATTAATCGTAATTATTGATATGGTTGCTATGGGATATTTATAGTCATTAAGATTAAAATACTACTATTGATGACAGTCTTGATATCTTCGATGCTAGTTACACTTTGAATGTATTTTGGAATTCGAATGTGAGAGCTTTCTATGGGTTATACTAGTAGAAATATATTAGTTTGTTTACGTGTTCAAAATTAGTTTTAATGGAGTTACAACGATTTAATATTAATCAATGAATATAAGATCAATTGCAGATTTAAAAGCGATTAAATATATAAATATATTTAAATATCCTTAAAATTGGTAAAAAAAAAGAGGAATAAAAGCCCTCCTCTTGGATGACCTGATTCTCCCCCTTCAGTGGCTGGTAGCAGGATGCCCTCGACTAACCCAATATCACCCTCCACCTCCAAGTCATCTTCTTGATCGGGGCCAACTGCCACTAAGATATATCGCTGGGCCATGGCTCCTATATCGGAGTGCCTCCCCATCCTGCTCCCTAACACAACCTAAGGATGTTATCCAATCCGATCAAGGATGTTATAATACCGTTTCCGACAGTTGTTCAATCCAATTAATTATATTAAAATGGTTATACGTTCAGCAAAAATATATAAAGATGTTGTATTATATTATTTTCTTTAAAGAAAGTATTGCAATCGGGCTAAATTTTCGATTTGTGTTTTTCAAACGATCTTTATGTTTCAGAGTCTTCTGTTTGTTTTGTGGGGCTTAAAAATGGCTCTTAAAGATTTTAATAAGGTTTCCTATAATCTTATACTTAATTCTTTTTTATTGAAAAAATATACATTTTGCCTGCATTAATGGCATTGAGTATTTATGATGTATGAAACAATCATACAATATATACCATGAAATAAAAACAATAGGAAATTATAACAAAAGAATAGAAAAGAAAACTTGGAATAACAGAATAAATCAAACATTAGGCAACATTAAACATAAAAATAAAATAAAAAAACATTCATACTTAATACTTAAATTATTTTCAATTTTCGTACATGTTGTGGATTTCAGAGAAAATTCTAGAAAAAATTATATGAAAAAGAAATATATTGTTGGTCTAACTCACAAGGTATGGTAAAATTTATAGGTATGGTAAATTTAGGCTATTTTAAAATATAATTAAATTCCCCACAAAACAAAAAAAAAATCATTAGTAATACCAGTAATAGGAATGATAGGATGCATCCTTTTTTCTACAAGTTTTATTAATTTCTGTTTTATCCCTAAAGTATTTCCTAAAACGTTATTAATTTTCAGACAAACCTAAAAAAAAAAAATCTAGATACCAAAATTGTATGCCTTTTTTGAAAAATATATCCTTTGCTTTGGAGTTAATGAAAGGCAACTATTTTTTAGGTCACTAATGATCTTTTCTCACTGTATTTCTGCATGTTTTTGATAATTTAATGTAGATTTTTCTTCTGTACCGAATTCCCAAGCCATAACAAACCGTGAGGTTTTTTGAAGATATTAATTTTAATTGAAATTTCAGAAGAGAATAACTATCTTTTTACAACAGAAACATGATAATTATGAAAGTATGTAATTCTATAATAAAGAAGATATGTAAGCACAGAAAAAAATTTTTTTTTCTATAAAATATGCATTTGCGCCTGTCAACTATAAGTTGACAATCAGCAAATGTGATGGCGATAATGATATAATGACATGACAGGCCTGGGGAAGGAAAGTACTCAGCAGTACCTCTTCCCTAACTTGTTCCAATTACTTAGGTTGTCTAAGGGAGGAGATCCCTCATCCAACGCCTTTTTAGTTTCCTGCTCATGTTCTGAGGTATGTCAGCTGTGGCCATGTCTCTTATAAGTCTGTTATTATGTCCATTTAAATTTGCGTAAAATCGTCGAGAAAAAAAAAAATTAAAAACAGTTACTTGTATACAATGTTGATAGTTATATATTCAATTGATAAATGAATTGGAATTAAGCCGGAATACTTGGAATATATATTTTGAACAATGGGAGAACTCCAAAGCAATAAATGATTCGAAAAGACTCGGACGCTTCGTTGGTTAAAAAAGGGGATGACATATTGTCGAATAGCCATTGGCTGTTTTCCAAGGGTTAATTTTTTGTTTTCGCCATTTCAGGCTGTAAATATCCATTGTCCGTTACACAAATGAGGTGGAAATCTTTTGTTAATTGAGTTTTATACTTTCACTTGGCCAATTATAAGAAAAATATGGTGAGGGAAAATATTGCGAAAATTGCTCGAAAGTTAAATTACGTACTTAAGGAAGATTATATTACAATTTTTTTTTTTTCAAGATATCGTAATTCGAAATTATACTTTATATGATTTTTTAAAAATATATTTTTATAATTTTCACAATAGCGACTTTAAATAAGTTCATTATACTCGTTAGATCGATGTAAACCTTTTTATTTAGTCTTCAAACCTCCATCCGCACCTATCCTTTAGTTTTAGTAATAATTATCATATTTATTTGTATATTAGAAAATGAAATTTCAGACATAAAGGAGAATAAGTACACAGCAGCACCTTTTCCCTGGTCTTTGTTTACTTCAGTTAATCAGGAAAGGAGATCTCTCATCCAGCTCCTTTTCAGTCGCCTCCTGAATATGTCAGCCGTGACTATATTTTATAAGCGTGTTGTTGTCTCCGTGTATTTTATAATGAAATCGGGAGAAAAGAGTACGTATGCGTTGGTCAATAGTTGGTTGTCTTAGGTCAGTATGCAAACTTTTGTTATTTACGTACCAAGGGGCTGATTAGTCGTAAAATTTAAGATTGAAAAGATTGTAGTTTTTGTAAGTGAGTCTTTTTGGTAAATCATAAAATTAAATCTTTGAGGCTATAGGTTTTGTCTTATTTGAAATTTAATTTGGATATTAGTGAGTATTGTATTTTCGTAGTTTGTTTAAAATATTTCTTTTCATTTTAACATGTCCAGGTCTCCCTTGTTTAGAATATTGGTCTAATGTGACCTATTGTGTTTGTCTGAGAAATTTTCTTATCGCATGAGTAAATGTTGTGATTTGTTATGATTTAATCTTAGTACCAGTTTTGTAAATTTACTAAATATTTTGTAAATCCTGTGAGGTTTGTTTGGTAAAGTAAAATATTTATTTATTTTTCAACTTAAACAAATATTTATAACAAAAGTAGAGTGATAAGTGGAAGTTTGATTTTTTAAAATATAAATATGAACTTGGATTAAGGGTATTAATTGGATTTAATACCAATAATAATATTAATTGGATCCAGTAAAAAAATGGATGGTTATTAAATATTATGTAGGAATTAACCACATGGAAATAGTCTTATATAGGGATTAACATTTCTACTACTAAAATTAAGTAGCTCCTGGAATTTTTGCGCCTTCAATGGTAGAATACAACAATGTTAGGTGACTAAACTGTGTTGCTAAATTGTATAACCATTTGCGCCTAGATACACTTAGTCATTTTTTGTTCATAGCTGAATAAAAAAATGTACGTGTAGTTAGAATATTTCCATTTATAACCTAACTTTGAATTTCTGTCTCTTGGTGAGTTTTTTACTTATTTATATTTGTATTTATAATTGAAGCAATATACATAATGTTTATTAAGTTGAAAAATACTTCTGATGTAGTTAGAGTGATCTTATAATTTCTTAGGAAAGTTATGTGCTTTTAATTTTATTATTTTTTTTCATTATAAAATTGTTGTAACTATCATCTATAAACCTATTGCTTCACTAATGATACTGAAATTCTTTCTTCCCACGAAAATCCACCTATCGCTTTAATTGCCATTGAAAACCACCTCTTTGATATTGAAAAGTCGTTTGAAAAATGGAAAATAAAGAACATAGCAAAAAATCCAACCACGTAAGTTTTTCTGTTGGAAAAGTCTTATATCCACTTATAATTATTGAGAACCATTATTAAATAAACTTTGTACGGTACAACGGACTCTACTTAGACAGAAGAATTACTTGGGATTTCTTACATCTGAAATCAACTATTCAAGAACTGACTAGACGAATTAACCTACTCATACATCTTCTGGACTACAGATCACTTAACTTACGAAACAATCGACTGATTTGTAACACTACACTGAGAAAAATTCGGACATATAGAGTAGAAGTTTAGGCAATTCGAAAAAACGAACACACGCGAACAAAATAACAAATTCTATTAAATAATGGTGGGGCACCTTGGTATATTTAAAATAACATCATATATTACAGCTTAAACTTCAAGACGATTAAGTAAAATCTTGCATCCACGACAAGTACACTATATTTCAGTCGTCAACTCAACATCACTTCAATTCATTAGTTCTTTAAATTTCTTCCTCGCTGTTACTTATTCGAAACAGAATCGAGAGATGACCAAGATATATACTCCTTAAATCTATCAAGAAATATTGCAGGAAATAATCAATTCATCAAATTATATTAAAATAAATAATCTATAAACCTTTTCTGGCCATTTACAAATCATATTATAAACAGATTCTTTTTGAAGTATACTTATGTTATTTAAGGCATAGAAATTTAAAATAATGAACGTATTGTTTCAAATAATAATAATACTACGAAGCAGTTTTCTTATCTGTTTCTCAAGTCCTTCATTACTGCTCGATTGTCTCGTCACTCCTGCCATAAAGGAGACCTGACATAAAGGGCGAGAGATAAAATCAAACTTTGACAAGATTTCTTTGGCAAGTTTATAGGTTGGCCGGAGGAGGCAGCACCGTCGTAAAATTATAACAGGCTGACATTTCGTTGACATTTTACTAGCACGTCCCTCCATCTCGTTGAATATAGTCATTTCATATTAATTGGGCATTCATTCATGAATTTATTCGATACATAAACAACCTATGGCGATATATATCATTACAGTTAGTGGAAAAGGTAGTATGTAACAATTTTACATGTTTATTCTCTTTACTTGGACAAAATACTTACTTGGAGGACTCACATCAGATAAAAACGAATAGAATTAAACAGACGTTACGGTCTCTTATCCAGATTACTTGACAGACGTTCAAAATTATCTTTAACTAACAAGCTACCCCTTTATAAATTCTTACTTAAACCTATTTGCACTTACGGCATAGAACTCTGGGGCTCTGCTAAAACTTCCAACATTAAAAAAGTTCACTTCTTTCAGTCAAAAGTGTTGCGAAGGATATTTGACGCACCGTTTTATGTCGCAAATGATACACTACATAAAGACTTAAACGTACCTACAATTTTAGATACTGCAAAAGAGAACTAAAATAACTTTCACCAAAGACTGACGTACTACACGAATCCCCTGACAGAAATCCTTCATCGTACAACAAACCCGTACAGCCCACTACGACGATTACTTAGGCGTTGACCAAGAGACCTGCTGATCTGATTTATATCCCGGACGTGATGGGAAGCTGTGAAGCTGCCAAAACATTTGCTTATTGCAAAGAAATTTGTGGATTGCACATTT